TTGCGAGAGGTAGACACTGACCCCAACAATGGTCGGTTGCTATGAGGGTGTTGCGATATCTTGCAAGTTCACCATATATCGGGCTAGTGTTGGGAAGACGCAGGCCAATGGTTCTCACAGGGCACACAGACATTTCGTGGGCGGATGACGCTGAGATGCTAAGGTCCTCCCAGGGCTGTTGCTTTAGCCTTCGTACAGGCGCTATCTCGTGGAGGTCTACCTGCTTGTCGTCTGTTGCATAGTCCACTAGTGAGGCTGAGATCTACGCTGGTATCATGGCGGTACATGAGCTCCGCTGGCTGACGTTCCTGCTCACTGACTTAGGTGAGTGGCCTAGCTCTGCCTTGGTCCCATACGTCTTGTGTGTGAGGAGCCTCGACTAGAGGGCAGAGCAAAGCATATCCTGCTGTGGTACTTCCTCCTGCGCGAGCTACAGTGGCGCGACCAAGCACGCGTAGTACATTTAGCCTCCGATGCCAGCACAGCTGATATCTTTACCAAGGCGATTGCGCCTAAAGATCATCAGTGGCACTGCAAACAGCTTGGTCTAGTTCCAGTAGCTCCTCACTTATTAGGACTTTGACTTGTGTACTACTTCTTATATTATCTTGACTGGCTTGCCTTAGTGGCTGGACTAGTAGTGCTGCCCTGAGTTACTTTTGCTTCGTTTGTACCCTTAATGATTGGTCTTCGGACCCCTACCTCATAGGTTGGACTAGTATTGCTGCTCTGAGATGCGTGTCTCTTGCTAGGCACTGCCCCTTATCTAGCCTAGGGGGTGTGTATATGACATATATGCATATGTCATATAGGCTAGATGGGATGCCCCCCTTAACTTAAAACATATGTCTCATATATAGCAGTTATAGCTAGATGCGGTTCGTGCTCTTAGAGAGGACAACACCTTGTCAGAAGACTTGGATTCTAGGAACGGTAGACGGCCATGGAATGGCGTGAGGGTTTAGCTAGGAGAGGAAGTTGACGAGAGAAAATAAGATCGAGTATAGAAGAGAGAGGGATACAAGGAGGGGGGTTGTACTCTCTACTGTAGGTTTCAGTAACACCTACCAAGCCTACCAATTATATATCAAAGATATAATTTAACACACCCCCTAGTCTTGGTAGCCGAAAGCACACCACACACGGACACTAAGCCACACATACCCCCGAAATCTAGCACCCCCATACTCAGTAGCAGCGATGGCTACAACAGCCTGGTCAACCCCTCAGCGCGTGAGTCGGCGACGTCGACAGCAAGGGCTGCAGCGGTGATGACGGCAGCGTCGACACTGGCGGCGGCGTGCCAGCAGCGTGGCTCCAATGCAAGCGGCGACAGTGGCGGCGGCGTGCAGCGGCGTGGCCCCCAACGCAACGGCGACAGTGGTGGCGGCTTGACAACGGGCGGCGGCGGCGGCGGCAGGGCTTGCAGCACTCAACGGCGTGGCCGGGCTCCGCGACGGTGGGACGGCCAGCGGGAGTCAGCCATCGCTGCGGCGAGGAAGAGGGGACGCAGGGAAGGGGGCGGGGGCTTCTGCAACACACCCATGGCTAGCGTGCGGGCGTCAGGGCCGGCGGCGCCTAAGACGTCACGCGGCCCGCTGCCGCCCGTCGACGCGCCACTGCAGCATAACGCCGCCTCCATTTGCGCGGCGTCGATGCCGCGCGATACGTCGACGCTGCGACGGCAGCGCGACGCCATTGCCACGGTGTGGCATCGACGCCCACGCATCAGGGCTGTGACGGCAGCATCACGACGCCGTCACTGCAGCACGGCATGGCCGCGACGGCCAGCACGAAAGTAGCGGAAATGACGACTGAAGTACGAGTACGCGGCGGAAGCATGGGGAGCAGGCCTGGGAAGGGCAACCTGCTCTGTTACCATGTCAGAAGACTAGGATGCTAGGAACGATAGACGACCATTGGAATGGCGTGAGGGTTTAGCTAGGAGAGGAAGTTGACGAGAAAAAAAAAGATCGAGAATAGAAGAGAGAGGGATACAAGGAGGGGGGTTGTACCCTCTACAGTAGGTTTCAGTAACACCTACCAGCCAATATATATATACACTGACGGAAAGAATTGTCCACATGTTTGGCAATTTTTTGAATTTCCACCGTTAAAGGGCATTTGAACATTAAGCCTTAATTGGAGGCATTACCCACTATATGCAGGCCAATCTAGGGAGACATTAAAATCTACACATTTGATGAAACTACTATCGTTAACAGTAAACAGCAAACATAACCAAACACGGTGCATGTGGACAATTATTTCCAGGCGGAAGCAGGCAACTTGAAAAACCCTTAAACTAGTACCTGGTCCACCGCCCTTTAGCCCTAATCACTGCTTTCACCCTCCTGGGCATGCTGTCGATCAAATTGGAGCACACCTCTGATGGGATCTTCTCCCACTCCTCTTGTACACGCTCCCACAGGTCCACCATACCAGTGGGAGGTGTCTCATGCTTTCCCAGCTCCCTTTTACGATGAGCCCACAGATGCTCAATGGGGTTCAGATCAGGACTTCCTGCCGGCCGCTCCAGGACCCCATACTCCTGCTCCTGAAGCCACTGCTGCACCACACGGGACTTATGCTTGGGTCGTTATCATGCTGGAAGATCACAGCCGAGGGGGTTAGCTTGTAAAAGTCGATGGTTTTTTTAGCTCGTCTTGCAAAATGCTCAGATACAGCGGCCCGTCCATCCGACCATCGATTTTGCACATGAAACCCGCCCCCTCAAACGTCATACATCCCCAGATCATCAAGCCGCCGCCCCCGTGTTTGACGGTTTGCTTGATATGGTGGTGTTGGAGAGTCGTACCTTCACGAACCCAGGCGTACGCGCGGCCGTCAGAGCGAACCTACTAATCCTCGTCTCATCCGACCATATGACCCATCGCCAATCATCTATGGTCCAATCCGCGTGGGCCCGTGCGAACGCCAGCCTATCGCGGATATTTTTCTTGGTGAGTCGCGGCTTCTTAGGCTGCTGAACTGCGATAAGGCCGCTGGATTTGAGCGCATTACGCACCGTCCTAGGATGCACCGTGATGCCGTGCTGGGATTCGACGATTTGGGCCGCATGCCTCGAGGTTTTCGCCTCGCCGCTAGTGATCGCCCTGACGATCCCACGACGAATTCTACTCGACAGTACGCGTGGACGACCAGCAGTGGGCATTGTAGGACGTACGTCCTCGGGACTAGTCTCTGAAATCGCCTTGAGCCCAACATCATGCACTGTACTTTTTCCCAACGCCAACCTGTTTCGCGATTTTGCCTCGTGCTGAACCCCCTACGCAACAGGGCCACGATCAGGGCGCGACGAGCCTCATCTATCGGTCTCATCTTGGCGTAGTCTACGCCTCGGGTATAAACTTTATTCTGACTACTCGACGATTGCGTTAGGAACTATGGAGAGAATGCTCTAGTCGAAAACGGATCTAGTCCGCTGCTTGGCCAAAACTGTCCGGATGCACTCACGCGACAGAAATCTTGGCCACGCTATTAGTGCGACCCATTCAGGTTGCAAACGTGTTACCCTATTGTAACTGGCACGCGTAACTTATTAGTCAGCAATGAACATTCAACGATACATCGGGTGAAAGCATTCAAATCATGTGTTGAACCTAAAATTGGACTTTATCCGGGCAATACTTTCCGTCGCTGTATATCAAATATATAATTTAACACACCCAACCATATAGCTCCCTTGTATCCCTTGCTTGAGTACACTTCGTTAATCTGACAAGGATAACCAACGCAAATTCACGCATTCTCTCGTAGCCAAATTCGCAAGACACGTAGCTAGCAATCGACAACCATGATTCCCAACGACAATCTGTCATTCATCGTCTACCCGTTGGTGGTTTTCTCCAGGTGGTACCACAAGCAATTTTTCGGAATGGCTTTCCACGCGGGCATTGCTCTCTTTGACACAGCGATGTCGCCATGTAATACTGAGGCCCGATGTTATCGAGGCCCTAATACTGAGTGCGGATATACTTTCCCTTCCAAGACATTCTTCATGTGAAATGCTACAGATTCTTTCTATCTTGCGAGTTGCATAACGACTACATGTAGGTGGACTAGTCCCAGTATCGAAATTATGCGCCCTTACCAACAAGTTGGCGCGAAAACTTCCCGCCGTTTTACGTTCCCCTCTTTACATCTTGCCGACAGCAATCGGTCGCAGCATACAGCAGAACCAGACTGGTCGTCGCCCCAGCGATAATACGTTAGGCATCGCGCACCGACATCTTAGCTGATATGCGACAACATCCAGCTCTCCCTACTTTCGCACAAGCTACGCCGTACCAGCCTTCTAGGTGTGGTTACGCTGGTCAGGTCAGCTTACGCGGTCCGAACCGAACCCACATATGCTAAGAGAATTCCAAGCCAGCTTCCACACTGCTTCCCCACTTTCCCTTATCTCCACCCATGCCTCGGGTTTGTCGGTTCGAACCGCGCAGTACGCCCAAATTTGTTCGCGAACGGCAACGCGCGCGCTTCCGTTCGCGAAATTTCTCCTTTTTCCGCAATTTCTCTCCCTGCACAAGGTAGGGTATTGTGCTCGTTGACGGTGTTCCATTCCATCTGCTCTCCCTCTGCTTGGGGCACCGTTGCACTTGATCGAACAATGCACGACTCCACGACTCCCGACTCCCAACGATTCACTCATGCCGCATTGCATCATCCCATTACACCGCAACAAGCGTAGCTGCTTCCACATCGCAGCCGCCCATCCAAATCCATCATGTACAACCATGCCACCAGCGAGTGGCCCACGACGCTTCCCTCGTCCCCCTCAATCCCTAATTTCGGTGCTTGCTCGCGCGAATTTTGCGACCTCCTCCTAAGAGCTAGTAACAACATGGATCTGCCATGCATTGTACCTGAACACCGACCGCGCCCTGATAGCGTATCGCCGACCTCTTGATAACTTGCGCTTTCGCAGCAAGTAGACCTGTCTAAAAGCGCAGCACATTCTGTCAAGAGTGAACCTCGATTTTGCTCTTCAGTACTAGGAGCTGTGCATTCAGAAGCATTTCTCTCTATGCAATCTAATCCTGAGAGGACCCTAAACGTACGCTACTACAGAAAGGCACAGAGGCCTTGCACACATCATCGCCTTTGATTCCCTTGCCCCGAAAGCCAAGGCTTGTAGATTGATCGCGAACCCGGGCAGCTATTCCGTAGGGCCTCTCTGGAACACACTAACCAGCTTAGCATCTTAGCTGACAGCTAGCAGACTATAGCTGATCGCGGACGAGCTGACGTTTGAGTCGACTCAAAAGTTAGTCCGTTGGGGGCTCTCTAGAACACGCTAATCAGCTTAGCGTCATCGTAGCTGACGGCTAGCAGACTAGAGCTGGTCGTGAAAACGCGTCCGCAGAGGCTGCCCTGACTCGCAGTTTTTCTAGCATCGCAAAATTTTATAGCACCGATTCCTCCGGCATCGCCCAATTTCTCTGGCATCACATTTCCGCAGCCTTGCCCCTACCACCGCAGCCTTGCCCCTAGCACCCCAGCCAATCTCTGAGTCCGCAATTCTACTGCCGTGGCCTCTCAATTCTACTGCCGTGCCGTAACCTCTCTTATCTCCCGCAAACTCACCACTGCCCTGCAGCAAGCGTTTTCGCGAAAGTTTAGCGGGTCTGCCACACCTTACCCTCACAATCATCGGATCTGAAATAAAAGGAGGACTTAAGCCTAGTTGGAACCGAAACTGTCCATTTCCCTAGGCATCTCAGCCGCTTACCGGCGAATAACGCGAGACAGGGTGATGAGTCGCACGGTCGCCTGCTCTCGCACTGCGACTCGGGCGACCGGCGTGCGACGGAACGGATTGCCGAACAATCATGCGAAAGAGTCAGCGACACGGTCGTTGAGATGGCTGACTGTCGTTTGGCTTGTCGCTGTGGTCGCAGGAGCGGCCCCGACGTCGCAGGCCGGAGGTAGGGAACCATAGGCCTTAGGCTAGAGGCTTTTCGTTCGAGTTACTTGGTAACGTATGAGATCACGAGGCTGTTGCGCCCCTTCGCAACCAGTGCATAGTGCTCCTGGCGGTAGCACCGCCCTCACCGCCGTCCCCTTTCCCCCCTCTCCCTTTCCCCTACCCTCCCCTACTCCCCCGAAACCACTCCTCCTGCAGTTGCGACCGCAAAGGCTGCGCCCATTCGCAAGCAGTACATAGTGCACCTGGCGGGCGTGCCGCCGGTGCTTAACTACCGCGGCGGCGTGCCGGGGCTGGCGGCGACGGCCCCCGAGCTCGACGACAACGACCCCGAGAGCAGCCCCACTGACGCCGACGACAACGATAGCGCGCCGATTGACAGTTCCGGTGGCGGTTCAGGTGCCGGCTCAGGTGCCGGCTCGGGTGGCGGTTCTGGGTGACTCAGGTGGAAATTCAGGCGGTTCTGGAGGAGATTCAGGTGGTTCTTCAGGTGAATTTTCTTCGGCAGGTGGAGGAGGAGGAGCAGTCTCTGCGGCGGGTGGTGGCACGGATGCTACAGCCGGGGGAGCTACAAACGGGGACGCTACAAGCGGGGACGCTACAACTGGCGCTACGAACGCCACGCTCGCTGCAGCGGCGCTCCAAGGCGTCAACTCGGGTCGATTCGCCACCGTTACTAGCACACCCGGCATAACCACAAGCTTCGCTACAAAGGGGTTCGTGACTACCGCGCAAGGAGGGTTTCGGGAAACGACGTCGCGGATATCCGCGGAAGGACCAGCGGTAACTGCGCTGAGGGCGATTCGGCGGCTGGCGGACAGAATCAAGCGGCGCGCGGACGTGCGGAGGGCGAACGTGAAGGTTTTCGTCGACTTTTTGCGAGATTCGCAGCGACGGTTTTTGCAGAAAGCTAACATTTCGCCGTCGCAGATGTTCCAGAGCTACAGTTATACGGTTAACGGGTTCGCTGTATCGCTGACAGACGCCGAGGCGAAGCGGCTGAAGCAGAACCGCGACGTGGCGTGGATCGAAGAAGACCAACCGGTGAGCGCAGGAGAAGAGGAGATGACTGGATAGGTAGGCGGAGTGGGTAAGGGGAGAAGATGGGGAAGGGGGGAAAGGGGGAAGGGGGAGGAAGTCGGGGGGGGAAGGGGAGGGGCTGGTTCTGGGGTGAGGGAGAGAACTGGAGAGGAAAAACGGGTTTTTATTGAAAACGCCCTGCTCTAATTGCAGCTAGATATTCTCGCATTTGCTGCTTGCCCTTTTTCTTTTGTGGCGCCTCAAGATATTGATCGCCTTCCCTTTTTTTTCCCTCCTTTTTTTCGGCAGGTTCGTGCTCTCACTGTAGACTCGCCAACTTTCTTGAAGCTGCCCACGAGCCTATGGCTGAAAACGGGGGGCAGAGCCGGGCGGGCGAGGATGTGATTATAGGCGTGGTGGACTCTGGGATCTGGCCAGAACACCCCTCATTCGCAACAATGTAAGTGCTACACAACATACGCGTTATTGCCATTGTGTGATCGAACATGCACCGGTATGGCATGCAATGGCGTGGTGGACTCTGGACTATGGCCCTGTGCCTGCTCGCAGACTTCCCCGCTTCTCTCTGCAACGGCAAGCTGATCGGAGCGAAGTTTTTCAACACCCTATCAGCCCCTCCTCCTCTGTTCCCTACCGCCCGGCCAATACTTCCTTTCCCGTCCCTCAGCCGGCAGATCCCTATGGCCCTGTCCCTGCGCGCTGATTCGGCAGGTGTGCGGCAACAGCGGACGCCTCCGATTTCTTCTCTATGTGCAACGGCAAGCTGATCACCCCAATCATCTTTCCTCCCCATTCCCAACCCATTTCTCCAGCCATCCGACACCTATGGCCCTGTGCCTGCGCGCTGGTTCGGCGGGTGTGCAGTAAACGGCAGACTTGTTTTTTCCTCACAGGCCCTTCCTCTTCTTCCTCTTTACCATGCATCCCCCTTGGCTCCTCCAGCCTGCAGACCCTATGGCCCTGTCCCCCGCGCGCTGGTTCGGCGGGTGTGCGGCAACGGCAGACTTCCCTGCCTCTCTTTGCAACGGCAAGCTGATCGGGGCCAAGTTTTTCAACAGCGGCTTTCGGAATCCGGGCAGGGCGTGGACCCGGTGAACGACTTTCCGTCTGCCCGGATGGCGACGGGCACGCACGTGGTGTGCGGGGTGAGTGGTTGCTGGGATATGTTGAGGCATATGTTGAGGCATCTGTTGAGCCATATGTTGAGCCATATGTTGAGGCATATGTTGAGGCATCTGTTGCGGCATATGTTGAGGCATATGTTGAGGCATATGTTGAGGCATACGTTGAGGCATACGTTGAGGCATCTGTTGAGGCATTTGTTGAGGCATCCTGCTAAGGTAGACGTCAGCCAGTAAGGGCGCGTGCCTGGGATGGGGACAGGCACGGCTCATGGTGTGTAGGGTGGTGCTGTGGCCACGGACCATTTTCTAATCCATGACCATTGCACGCTGCACTAGTATAGGTCACCTGCTGGAGGTATGGCAGGGATGTCGCTTGTGTCTCTCTTCCCACCATCCCCTGTGGTCTTTCCTCCCCACTAACAGCGGCGGCAGTGGCCATCCTGGTGTGTTTTGAGTCGACTCAAAACACAACAGGTGTGTTTTGAGCTGGGCTGTCGCTTATGTCTCTTCTCTGACCATCCCCTGTGCCCTTCCTCCCCACTAACAGCGCGGCAGCGGGCATCCCCAACGTGAGAGTGGGGATGAGCGGACACAACTACATACTCTGATTTCCCCCTAAACTCCCCTCCTCTCACTCTCCCCCTCCCCCAGAGCCGCTGGCGGCAACGCCAACGTGAGTGTGACGATGAACGGCCGCAGCTACTGTCACACCACCCAACACTGTACTGTCTTCTCCCCTCCCCCTCCCCTCCCCTCCCCCTCCCCCAGAGCCGCTGGCGCAACGCCAACGTGAGTGTGACAATGAACGGCCGCAGCTACGGGGCGGCCAGTGGCGTGGCGCCACGCGCGCGCATCGCCATGTACAAGGCGCTCTGGGTGGTCAAGGATGGGGGGGTCTGGAACCAACGCCGATATACGTGCCGCTGTCGACACTGCTGTGGCCGATGGGGTGGACGTGCTCTCCCTCTCACTCGGAGGCTCGGTTCCGCAGTACTTCTCGGATATACCCTACATGAATGCGGCCAAGGTGAGGGGGTTGGGACGGAGACTAGCAGTCATTGCTTTGGGACGCCTCGCCAGCATCGCCATGTACAAGGCGGCTCTGGGTGGTCAAGCACGGGGGGCGTCTGGGACCATCGCCGATATCCGTGCCACTGTCGACACTGCTGTGGCCGATGGGGTGGATTTGCACGGAGGCGGGAGTGTTTGTGGCGCTGCCAGTGGGCGATGACGGCCCACCCTCTCTCATGCAGGTTCTGGGTTCGTACCTATACCCTCCCCCCACTTCTTCCCCTTCCACCCCTTCCCTCCCACCTTCCCTTTTATGCAGGCGGCAGGTGTTTGTGGCGCTAGCAGCGGGCAATGCCGGCCCGCCCTCCCCATGAGAATCATCGGGACCCTGAGCAACGCTGCTCCGTGGTACCTCACAGTGGGCGCAACGTAAGTGGAGCCAAGTCACTTGGCTTGGTGGGGGGATGGGGGGGTTGGGGAGGTGGGGGGAGGGATTTGAGAGGGATAGGGGATTGACTGCCTTCCCCTGGGGCTCTCAGCTATGCTGCTCCGTGGTACCTGACAGGCAGCGCAATGTAAGTGGAGAGGCAAGAGGAAATCACTGATTGAGCTACCTTCCCTCCCTTCCCTCCCTTCCCTCCCTTCCCTCCCTTCCTCCCTTCCCTCACCCCACCCCTCCAACCCACCCCTCCAACCCACCACAGCACCATCGGCCGCGATTACTACGCCACTCTGAGCCTCGGCAACGGGGTGGACGTCAGGGGAGTGAGCTTCGGGGCAACGCACAGACGGTTGACAAGCCCCTGCTGTCGGCGGCTGCTGTTGTCAAGTCAGGGGCGTCTGCTTCCGATGTGAGTAATCCCCCCGTTCCGTTCCGTTCCGTTCCGTTCCGTTCCTTTCCTTTCCTTGTGTTTCCTCATCGCAACTCCAACTCCCGTCCTCTTTTTGAGGGCCTCACAAACAGCTTCCAATGTGAGTAATCCCTTTCCTCGTGTTTTCCCTCATCGCAACTCCAACTTCCGTCCTCTTTTTGAGGGGCCTCACAAACAGCTTCCAATGTGAGTAATCCCTTTCCTCGTGTTTTCCCTCATCGCAACTCCAACTTCCGTCCTCTTTTTGAGGGGCCTCACAAACAGCTTCCAATGTGAGTAATCCCTTTCCTTGTGTTTTCCCTCATCGCAACTCTAACTTCCGTCCTCTTTTTGAGGGGCCTCACAAACAGCTTCCAATGTGAGTAATCCCTTTCCTTGTGCTTTCCCTCATCGCAACTCCAACTTCCGTCCTCTTTTTGAGGGCCTCACAAACAGCTTCCAATGTGAGTAATCCCTTTCCTTGTGCTTTCCCTCATCACAACTCCAACTTCCGTCCCCACATCTGCCTGTTGCCCTGATGCTGTTTTCTTGACCCTCACTCCGCCTTTCCACCCTCCCCTCCGCCTTTCCTCCCCCTCTCCCCTCCCCCTCTCCTCGCTCCAACTGATTTTGAGGCGCCTCAAAAGCAGTCTCGCTCCAACCTATTCCTCCCTGTCTGCAGGCAGCGTGATAGGAGTCCAGTTTTGAGGCGCCTCAAAACTAGACTCTCTCACTCACTCACTCCAACCTCTTCCCCGCTGTCCCCTCCCCAGGCGGCTCTGTGTGCCATCATTGCCATCAGTCGAACCAAGTTTGGGGGGCGAATCCTAGTCTGCTGCTTTTTTATCTAACCTTTTCCACTTCTCCCACCCTCCCCTCTCCCCCCATTCATGTCCCCAGGCGGCCCTATGTGACATCACTGCCATTGATCGAACCAAGGTTGCGGGCCGAATCATCGTGTGCACGTACCAGCCATCCGCCACAAAGTCTACCGGCATCCCAATCAACACCCTCGCCTCCTACAAAGCAGCAGCCTCATCCTCCTTAGTGGCTCACCCGATACAGACAGCATGCCAATGCTTCCTTTCACGGAGCTGCCCCTCCTCTACCTCAAAAACTCCCAGGGCGTGCAGGTGAAAAACTACCTGCAGCAGGCAGCCAATCCCGTGGCGACACTTGGCGAAGTCGAAACCACTAACACCACCAACGCCCCCAAATGGCATTTTTCTCCTCCACTGGTCCAACCATCAACCCAGCCCTTTTCCCCATCCCCTCCTTCCTCCCCACTAACGACATCTTAAAGCCCGACATTGTAGGCCCGGGCTTCCAGCTCTGGTCGTCGTACCGAGGCAAGAGCGCAGCTTCGGCAGCCACCGACCCTCCCAGGTTCAACTGCATTTCTGGAACCTCCATGGCAACTCCCCACCTGGCTGGCATTGCCGCCCTATTAATCCAAAAGAACCCGGGATGGACCCGCCCAGGTTGTCAGCAATGATGACTACAGCATCTACAGTGAACAACGCCGGGCAGGCGATAAACGGGCGAATGGAGCTGTGGCTACTCCGTGGGACTACGGCTCGGGCAAGTAGACCCTTCGAGGATTCTAAACCCTGGGTTGACACTTACCTCGGGCTTTAATGATTATGTGAATTTCCTCGCCAGCCGTAATTTCAAGCAGACGAAGCACGCCTTTCCGGGACTGAAAGGAATCCGGGCTCGCAAGCCGTGGAATCTCAACCGTCCAACGATCGCGATCTCGCGGCTGACGATGCAGGGAGGAAGATTGTGCGGACGGTTCGGAACGTGTTTGACCAGCCGTCGACGTACATGGTGCAGGTTCGGGCGCCGTCGAACGTGCAGGTTCGGGTGTCGCCGAGCCAGTTTACGGTTGGTCCGGGGAGGTGCAGCGGATCACAGTGGTGATTAAGGCGAAGAAGGTGCTGAGAAAGTTCGTGTTTGGGTCGGTCAGTTTGGCGGATGAGCATGGGCATACTGTTTACATGCCGCTTGCGCTGCGCACGGTGCTGTTCTGAGTCTGCTAGGTGACTTATGAGTCGACTCAAAAGTCACCTCGTTTGGGTCGGTCAGTTTGGCGGATGAGCACCGGCACATGGTTAACATGCCGCTTGCGCTGCGCACGGTGCTGTTCTGAGCCGGCTTTTGACTTGACTCCAAGGCACTGCGTACGGCGCTGCTCTAGATAGGTATGAACCAGATGGTGCGGTGTGGTGCTGCTGATTTACATATGTGCGAGGGGGAAAGGGATGGGATGAGGGAGGGAGGGTGTGGCTGAGGTAAGACAACGAGGGGGGGGTAAGAGAGTGCCTCTGTGTTTTGTGCAGTGTCTATTCTTTGTGCAGGAAGTAACAGTAGCCCTCATACGCAATAAATGTGAAGCGTGATATGTATGTTGCCAATTATATAATGGCTTAATAGCAGCAAGCTGAATCCGTGTCAGTAAGATTTCAATTGTGATGCTATATTGGTTATGCTCATCAGACGCAAGGCTCAAATTGGTTTTGCCCTGGCTTGTTGATCCACCCACCTGCCTTACCTTCCCCAGTTTGGAAATCAGCACCTAGAGCTGTCAGAACTCAGTCACTAACCACTGAGTTCAAAGGCTTTGTTAATAGCATATCAGTGCGCCTGCAGCCCTTCCCAACCATCTTCTCAAGGTAACCCAGCGGGTCTCTCGACCCCCCTCGCTGGGATAGGCGAAACTCAGCACCTCTGCAGCGCTAGCACTGGGAATTGAACCCGAGTAACCAACGCTCTGATAGCATGCCAAACTCGATCACTAAGGGCGTGTACAGCGCGTACGTTTAGCGTATATTGGGCTGAGGAAAAGCCCTTTGGATCTTTTGCAGAGACTAAGTCCCAGCTGTAGAGACTTTGAGACTTTGAGTAGTGCAGCGGAGGTTGAGGCGGTTGAACCCTTGTACTAGTATGTGAGAACAAGTGATTGATTAAAGAAACAAGCATACAGCAATATATAGAAGATAAGAAAGCAGTTGTAGAGTGCAGTTACAGGAACGGTTTATCGAGTCGCACAGCGACTCGATTGCCGCTTCGGTTACCATCCGTGATGTTGTAACGGTCAGTCGCAACCTCCAGTTGCGACCTTTCGAGTCTTTTCGCATTCTTTGTCCGTCCCCTCATGTAACCTCCGTTGACTCGCGTGCTCCCCTGTAGTCTTCCTCGAGTGCAGTGTTACACTTCAGAAACGCTTAAGTCCTTTGAGATATTTCCAACACTCCCCTTCGTTTTTGGAGTGCTGGAGTGTTCAGATCTGGTGACGTTTGTTTGCCCGGTCAGGAGCATGCAGTAGTCGAATTTTGCTTTCGCCAATTTCTTCGTCAGATAATCTGCGGCCATTTCTGTCGTTGGGCAGTAACTGAGTTGAAGTCTCCCCTTCGCGATTTCATCCTTGACGAAGAAGTACCGCAGGGCGATGTGCTTGGTTCGGTTGGCGAAGCCGTCCTTGTTCGCGATTTTGATCGCAGATTGGTTGTCGCAGAGGAGTGAGAAGGCGGGCAGGGTCGCAATCTTCGCTTCCTCGAGTAACTCTCGTAGGTAGAGTCCTTCCTTGGTCGCGGTACAAAGGGCGATATACTCTGCTTCAGCCGAGGATAGTGCGATTAACTCCTGCTTGCTCGACTGCCACGAGATAGTTCCGATGGGTTCTAGTCGGTAGATATAGCCCGTCCTAGATCGTCGATTTTCCCTATCTCCCGCGTGGTCGGCGTCGACGTATCCGAGTAGTCGTACGGACGGTGTTGTCGCTTTGCTGTAGGTAAGTCCGATCGTTGGCGTGGAGACGAAGTAGAGTAGTGCCCGGTTGAGCTCCTCGAGATCTTCCTGTTCCGGTTGCTTCAGATGCGTCGCCAGTTGACTCGCACTATAGGACAGGTCGGGTCGGCAGGTTACTGCTGCGAACAGTAGGCAGCCGAGCTTCTGTTGATACTCCTGGATTTGCTTCGCGGGGAGTTTTGCGGAGGTGCTGTTGTTGTTCCCGTAGCGGTAGGGAGTTGGGACCGTAGTCGGTGCTAGACCGAATTTCTTCGCGACGGTGCCTGAGTACTTTCCAGCGTGTAGGTAGAACGCCGTGTCGTCTTCGACGACATTCAGTCCTAGATACTGGGTCACTTCGTCGGACACCGTGAGTGTTAAGTCTTCTTTCAGCTCTCCTTCGAACCAGGTAGCGATGTCGGTAGTGGAGCCGATGTAGAGCAGGTCGTCGACGTAGACGATGAGTAGGACATACTCTCTTCCCTTCTGCAGTCGGTACATCCCTTGGTCATGCGGCAGTTGTAGGAATCCGATTTTTGCGAGACGGCCGTGAAGGTGCTGCTGCCAGAGCCGCGGGGCTTGCTTGATCCCGTATAGGGATTTTGTCAGTCGGCATACTTTCGTGGGGTCGTCGATGAATCCGTGGGGTTGTTCGACGAAAATCTCAGCGTCCACAGGTGCGTATAGGAACACATTGGCGACGTCGATTTGGCGTAGTGGTAGTGTCTTCGTGGCCGCGACGGCGAGTAGGATGCGTAATGAGGTGTGACGGGAGACTGGAGCGAAGGTTTCTGTGTAGTCGGTCCCGTATCGTTGGTCGAAGCCTCGTACGACCCATCGAGCTTTGAATCGTTCGATGGAGCCGTCTGAGTTGGTCTTAATGCGGTACACCCATTTCCCTGAGAGGACGTTTTTTCCGTTGATGCTTGTTGCAGGTACCAGTTTCCATGTTTTCCGGTCTTGCAGAGCCTTTAACTCATTTTCCATCGCTTCCTTCCATTTCGCCTTATGTTCCCCCCCCAGAGCCTGCGATAAGGTCGAAGGCTCTCGCGGAGAAGGCGGCGGCGGATGCTGGACGGAGACCCAGAGGCCTAGAATCTGCAATCCCGTGGGTGTGTGTCGAGGGGAATTTTCATTCCCGGAATAAGCTGCTTCGTCACCGTCTTCTGGGTCAGGTAAGAAGTTGGGACCGATGCGTTCTGAAACATTTGTGTCGACTGGGTGGGGTGTAATGTAACCTTGGTCAGCGAAGTGGTAAAAGGTGTCGAGGTTGTTGCTATCGAGAGGATTGTCTTCGTCGAGTGGAACAGGTACGGAACAGAATGGGAGTGGTCCGGCAGCTTCCGAGGCTTCAGGTACGTCTTCTTCTGCTGCGTCAGCTTCGGCAGCACGGTCGGCGAAGGAACGAAGTCCCGAGAAGCCGTCGGTGGGGTCTTGTGTGTTGGCAATGTTGTCCAGGTAATGCTGCAGCGTCAGTCGCTCGTAGAAAATAACATCACGTGATGCCACGGTATTTTTGTCTTGTATGTCGAGAATTTTCCACGCGTGAAAATGTTTTGCGATGCCTGGGTGTAGTCCCCACCTAGCTCGTTGTGTGAAGCGTCCTGCTCGGGCTGTGTGGGGTCTGTACTGTACCATGCAGCCGAAAACTCGGAGTAATTTTGTGCTGCCCCTTTTTCTTGTCCACAACAGGTGCGGTGATGCGTTGTTGGGAAGTGATGACGAGGACAGCAGGTTGTGCAGGTGAACGGCATGTGTCATCGCGTCTGGCCACAGTGTGGTGGGCAGCCTCATCCCCAGAAGCAGTTTTCGCATCGTCGTCTGCAAGGTCCGGTTCATGCGTTCTGCTACCCCCTGCTGTTGGTGAGCATAGGGCAGAGACACCAGGCGTCTGATTCCTCTTTCCGCCAGATAGGTCCTGAAGCGTTGTGACTGGTATTCCAGTGCACCGTCTGACTGGAAGCTCTTGAGCTTGGTTCCTGATTCTCGTTCGGCGATGGGAAGCCATGTGGTGAAGGCCTCGAAGGCTTGATCGCGCGTTTTGAGATTGAAGTGCCAAACGTATCTGGTTGCTGCGTCGATGAACGTGATGACGTAGTTGAAGTCGGCTTCGGTGTCTTCTCGAGGCATGTTTAAAATATCGCTGTAGACCTTTTCCATCGGAGCGTAAGTAGGTGCGCTTGGGTTGTGATGAGATGGGAAAGGTTGATGAGGAAGATCTGTTTCGGGGCACGTGAAGCACCGTGCTCGTGGTCGTCGTAGTTCTTGGCCGCTCGTCGTTAGAAGGGCGTTGCGTTCTAACACCTCTGCTTGGATTGTTTGTAGTATTGTGCTGTTTGCAGGATGTCCGAGACGTTGGTGCCAGATGTCGACGGAAGCGCGATGACCGGGCGAGCGGTGGTAGATGTCGGCGTTGGAGAAGAACGCGACGACTGAGGCGGGACTTCGACAAACTTCTCGTGTGATGGGCATAAGCTGGTCTGCTTCGGTTGGCGGTCCTCGGGTCGCTGGTGGTGGGACTCGGCTGGGTCCTGCTGCCGATACTGCAGGTGATGGTTTGGTTGGGATACTTGCGGGTACTTGTCTTTCTTGTCTGATAACTACTAATGCTCGTGTTCTCTCTGCTGCAGGTATGGTGTTGGAGTGCCAGAAGCCGTCACTGTCGAAGTCGGGATCAAGATCCGGCGGGTGAGTCCAGGCGGCGAACGATACGATACCGTCGCTGTCGGCAGTACCGCGGTCGGGGACGAAGTCCAACACGAAGACGCCGGACTTCAGGAGGGCACGACCGATGAAGAGGCCGCCCTTCCCGTGGTAAAGCCGAAACTCGTTGGAGTAGGAGTCGCACTCCAGGTGAATCCCCTTGGCCATTAGTTGGCTTACGCTTAGTAGGTTGTATCCCAGATTGTCGACAATGAGCACTTTGTTGAGCTGAAGTATGACGTTTGTCTCCATGGATTGTAACTGAGCCACACCTTGTCTGTTTGTCTTCAGGTTTTCGTTGTTGGCGACGGTGATGACGACGTCGCGGTTGAGGCGTTTCTCCTGTTGCACGAAGCGTCCCGAGGAGCACATGTGTTGACCGCAGCAGCTGTCCAAGAACCAGGTGTTTCGCTCGGTGGGTTCGGCGTTGGCGACCGCAGCATATGTTGGATTGACTTGAAGGCCTTGTGAGCGCGGTGGCGGCAGCTCTTCTTCGTCTGGCGCGTAGGTGGGTGGTGATCCGGGTGCGCAGTTGTCGATGTGTACCATGCAATTGATAATGTTTGGTGTTTGTTGTGCAGATGTTGAAGAGCGCCTTGGGGGACTTGCTTGAGTGGAAGCGACTTGTGGGTCTGCTGGACGGTAAACGCGAGGGCGGTTGCAGTTGACCTTGGAGTGCCCGGAAGTCTGGCAGTTGTGGCAGAACGGCGGCACGAAGGTAAGTCCCCTGTTGTCGCGTTCTTGCTTGCCGCGTCGACTGTAGGTGTTGTCGTTTCTTCGTTGAGTGTAGAAGACTAACTGCTGTTGCTTTCTTGGTTGTCTTTCTTCGAACAGGTCCATCTCCTGTTGTTCAGCGTGAAGCTCGGCGCAGAGGTGCATCTCCGAAATCCTTCCATGGGCGCGAAGAAGCGATCATGTGGTTCTCCATTCTGGCCCGAGCCCGGCGAGGACAAGTGTTACGAAGCTTTCTTCAGTGATTGTTCCTCCGCACCGAAGCAGGCGGTCGCGGAGGGTCTGGCAGCGACTCATATACTGCATCGCCTTTTCCCCGGTCTTCATCTGTATTGTTGTCAGTTGTTGCATGAGTCTGCTTTGTGTCACGCTGTCGTTTGCTTGGTAAAGGCACTTGAGATGGTGCCATGCGAGCTCCGCGGAGTTTCCATAGCTCCTGTATGTTCTGATGCTCTGCTGTTCTTGTGGTGACAGGTTTCTCAGGAGAACCGTATACGCCAGCAGCGACTGATACGTGAAGATTTCTTGTTCCTTTCCAGTGCCGTTGCTTGGGAATGGCAGGGACCCGTTGAAGTATCCCAGAAGATGCGCGGCCTCCATCAGCAGCTCGAACTCGAAGCTCCAGGTAAAGAAGTCGTGTCCGTTGAACGGTGAGGATGTCTGCAGTTTTATCACGTGCGAGAACTGCGCCTGGAGACTTAAGATTTCGTTTGGTGTTTGTTGTGATGCAGCTGCTGTTGGTTGGGCACGGGGCGGCATAAACTCGAACGTCCCCGGTGAAGAGTGATAAGGCGCAAAGGTAGGCGCTTGATTGTGTCGCCCAAATGATGAGTTGTCGAGGCTCATCGGCGCTAATCCCATGTTTCCTCCATTGCTTTGTGTTGAATGCGCAGGTGTCCTTGTCTGCTGCTGCTGGTCGAAGTGCGACATGAAGCTGAAGAACCTTTCCATAAGGTTGGGGTCCACGCTTGAAGAGGGAGATGGAGTCACCATCTCTGGTACTCTTCCCGTTGTTTCTTGAGCAGTCCCGGTCTCTGTCTGCAGTCCTGAGGTGTGCAGACCAGAGTTGCCGTGTTGAGTTTCTTGGCCTTGCTGTCCATGTCTTGTAATCAATGAAGTCGTTGAATTGAGTTGAGTTGCAGGTTGTTGATGGAGCGTAGTTGCTGGGAGTTTGGCCTCTGACCAGCTCTCATACCATATTGGGCTGAGGAAAAGCCCTTAGGATCTTTTGCAGAGACTAAGTCCCAGCTGTAGAGACTTTGAGACTTTGAGAAGTGCAGCGGAGGTTGAGGCGGTTGAACCCTTGTACTAGTATGTGAGAACAAGTGATTGATTAAAGAAACAAGCATACAGCAATATATAGAAGATAAGAAAGCAGTTGTAGAGTGCAGTTACAGGAACGGTTTATCGAGTCGCACAGCGACTCGATTGCCGCTTCGGTTACCATCCGTGATGTTGTAACGGTCAGTCGCAACCTCCAGTTGCGACCTTTCGAGTCTTTTCGCATTCTTTGTCCGTCCCCTCTGTTAAGAACTTAGGATGCTAGGTCCCTAAAGTTAGGACACTAGCTTAGCAAGGATAGGAGCAAGGTCGCCATGGAACGGCGCTAGGAAAAACGGATCTAGGAGTAGGAGGAAAGTCGAGAAGAAAGAGGGTTGGATTAGGAAGAGAAGGGAGTACAAGGAGGGGTTTGTACCCCCTACAGAAAGGTTCAGTAGCAACCTACCAAGCCTATATAAAATTATAACTTATATAATTTTAACACACCCCCTAGGCTTGGTAGTGTCAAGCCCACTCACACCCCCACACCCGCACCCAACCCACCCCCTAACCCCGCACACCCTCAGGCTCGTGCTTAGCCGGGTATCTGACCCTCAGGCAAAGCGTTGACACACCCCCGTACACGAGGCAGCCGACGGCGTCTAGGCGGGTCAGCGACAAGCAGCCGCGGAGCTCTGGCTCAAGGCGGCTGGGTCGCCGACGACAGGCGGCGACTGCCGTGGCTGAGGGCTCTCGGCGATGTGGCAACATCCGGGCAGAAGACAGCAGCTGCGACAGGAGGAAGGGAAGCAAAAGGGGGAAGGGAGAATGGGGGGGGGGGGGGGGGCGGGGGGGGGCGGGGCGAGTCTTCAGCGTCGCGCCATAAATGGCGCGGCGCTTACAGGCGGGACGACGGCGTCCTGGCAGGGGGCGACGGGGCCGGGCAGAGGGCGACGGGGCCAGGCAGGGCGCGACGAGGCCCAGGAGGGGCGCAGCCGCGGCGTCGCGCTGACGTCGTCCCGGTCGCGTGTCGAGACGGCCGCGGCAGGACGGCGCAGCCGGCGAACAGACGACGACGCCACAGCGTGACGCCGCCGCGGCCGCCATGGCAGCGTCGATGCCGCAGCGGGGCGTCGACGCTGCGACTGCAGAACGACGGCCCGACTCCGCGGCAGCGCGTCGGGCCGGTCGCGGCACGACGCGCCCAGTGGCAGCGCGACGTCGCCACTGCAGCAAAACGCGGCCGCCATGGCCGCTGGAGTGAATGAGGGTGAGGAGTAAATGGCGGAAGCGAGAGGAGGCAGTCCAGCAGGAAGGATCTCCTGCTCTGATACCATGTTAAGAACTTAGGATGCTAGGTCCCTAAAGTTAGGACACTAGCTTAGCTAGGATAGGAGCAAGGTCGCCATGGAACGGCGCTAGGAAAAACGGATCTAGGAGTAGGAGGAAAGTCGAGAAGAAAGAGGGTTGGATTAGGAAGAGAAGGGAGTACAAGGAGGGGTTTGTACCCCCTACAGAAAGGTTCAGTAGCAACCTACCAAGCCTATATAAAATTATAACTTATATAATTTTAACACCCTCGTGTAACCTCCGTTGACTCGCGTGCTCCCCTGTAGTCTTCCTCGAGTGCAGTGTTACACTTCAGAAACGCTTAAGTCCTTTGAGATATTTCCAACATGTCCTTTATATGTATACTCAGACTGGACTTGTGTCCTCTCCCAGTGGCTGGACTAGTAGTGCCGCCCTGGTCTTGTTCTTGCCTTGTCTGTACTCCTTCTGACTGGTCTCTCAGACCCTTGTCTCAGAGGTTGGACTAGTAGTGCCGCCCTGAGCTGCTTGTTTAGGGTATTCCCCTATGCAGTCTAGGGGGTGTGTCAAACATGTGTATTTGTCATGTTTGTATAGACTGTATAGGGTTACCTCTTAGAGGGTACAACACTTAGGTATATTTGTGTGTACTCTCACTTTACCATTATTCGATTCTAATTCTGATAGCTAGTACCCTCCAACTGCACCTTTCAAACACAGTGCGTTTGACGCCATGCGGTTGCAATTTGGGCCGCGGATTGATCAACATCGCTCTGCAACCAACTGGTTGGTTTCACATTCTTCAAGTACAGTACCTCGATAAGGTGTGACATTGGCCTGACCTGTTCCCGCTCCCACCGCACCCCCTTCGCACATTCTCCGCCACATTTCACTTGTTACAAGATTTGTAAGCTTGACCCATGTACATATCCATATGGCCACTATATCACAAATACATATTAGTACGTGAACAAGAACCAAGCATTTCTATTCCACAAACCAGCCTCAGCATCAGAAGGCCTGCGTCACGCCTGAACTGGTGGGAGCCCATTATTTTGAGTATACCGGAGGCCATAGCTCCTCCACTATCATGGCCGGGACGGATTGTAGCCAAGCAAGCAGCTGCTGCCCTTAGTGACTGACTTGCGTGGACACACAGAAGCAGGTGAACAGATGACGGGGAGTGGACCGAAGAGAGGGAGGTGGGGGAATGAACCTCGAGACGGAGACAGGGAGCGAGGGAGCAAGGGAGAGAGAGAGTAAGAGAGTGAGAGATAGTGAGAGAGTGCGAGAGAGTGCGAGAGAGAGAGAGAGAGAGAGAGATAGATAGAAAGAGCGCGCGAGAGAGAGAGAGAGAGAGAGAGAGAGAGAGAGAGAGAGAGAGAGAGAGAGAGAGAGAGAGAGAGAGAGAGAGAGACAGACAGAGAGAGAGAGAGAGAGAGAGACAGACAGAGAGAGAGAGAGAGAGAGAGAGAGAGAGAGAGAGAGAAAGGGGGGGAGGGCGAGGGGGAAGGATGAGGGTGGAAAAGGGGGGACCACTGTGGGCAAAGCCACAATTTTTACTGCAGGGAAAGCTCCAGTCCAAATTGACGCTGCATAGATAGCGCCTACGGCTCTTGACAAGCGTCTCGTGACACGTCGTGGCAGAATGCATAAGGAAAGTTATTATCACGGAGGAGGGGTGCAAGCTCGTACGGTTCTACAGCTGTACGGATGAAGTGGCGTACGAGTGCCGTACGAGTGGCAACGTGCACACGGCGTACGGTCAGGAAGGGTACAACCACTGTAGCGACAATCTGTCCGTCCACTGGCGCGTCACCATTATCAGATGCCTCGATGAGCGCAAGGTCGGGGCAGGGTGTCTTTATTCGGAGCGCGAAGCGCGCGAAACAGCACCTCACGCAAAGTGCGCTTAGCAGCAAACCGCGTGGCTGGGTCGCTCTGCCGAGTGCCAGCCCGCCTGTTCCAATATACCGCACGGCGCCGCCAATTGACCGCACAATCCGCTGCACGTGCCCGCCACGCCGCACGACAGGCTGCCGCTTGCCCCCCCGCACGGCGCCCACTCCATGGCGGAGGGGCCCGAATCTCCCGCCGCTGCTGCAGCACCTGCTGGCGCGCTGACGTATATTCTTGACGGCGACGAGTGGTCGCCTGTCGCTTTATTCGTAAGGGTCGCCTGCGACTCGCCAAGGCGAGACTTTTCGCAGGACGACTTCCAGGCGGCAAACAGCGACTCCAGAGCCGACGACGGAGTGGCTTTATTCGTGAAGGAGGGGGTAGCGGATGGAATGGACGGAATTGAGGGAGCGGAGGGGGGAGCGGAGGAGAGTGCGGAGGAGAGTGCGGAGGAGGGAGCGGAGGAGGGAGCGGAGGAGAGTGCGGAGGAGGGAGCGGAGGAGGGAGCGGAGGAGAGTGCGGAGGAGGGAGCGGAGGAGGGAGCGGAGGAGGCGGATGTGCATGAAGATGAAGGCACCGTGCCTCCCGGATTGTGTGCCGGCTCCTCTGGACCGAGCAATGGCTCTGAAGCGTTTATTGGGCGAGACGGGAGAGATGCCGCGCAGAGAGGAGCATTCGCGTCTAAAGTGGCGAGCGGGTATCGCGCGCTGCTCTCGGTCGACGCGCTGCTCTCGTCCTCCGCTTCGTCGGCGGCGTCCTTCGCGCACAGCAGACGCATCTTGCTTCGAAAAAGCTCCTCGCAAGCAGCGCTGCCGTGCCTAACAGCGTAGTCCATCGGGGTTAATCCGCTCGCGTCCACGGCAAACACATCCGCGCCTTTATCCAGCAGAATCTCCGCTACAGCAGAATCGACGGCTGTAGCGGCGAAGTGCAAAGGCGTCGTCTGGAGGCAATCCCGCGAATCGACGTTCCCGCCACGTTGGATGAGCACGCGGAGGAGGTCCGCGCGGCCTTGCGCGGCGGCGTAGTGAATCACGTTGCGCCCGTGGCGGTCTGCGGAATGGAGGAAGCGCAGCGGAGTGTTGACGATTAAAGCCTTGGTGATGTCCTCGTGGCCGAGAACAACGGCCCACTGCAGCGGCGTGCGACCAAACCCGTCGCGTCCGGCCGAGTCCCAGCCGTCGCGAATGAGTTTCCGCGTCGCTTTGACGTCGCCTGATAGGACGGCAATGTGCAACTCCGACGGCGTTACACGAGCCATTCGTCTGTCAGAATCCTTCTTTTTAAAACGTATCTATGCGGACTTGTGAGCTCGAACACTAACAAATAGCTTGCCTCGATTAGCTTCACATAATGTAGGAGCTTTCGTAGTCGTCAACCTATTACAGTAGTCAGGTAGACCAGTGATATGAATAACAAGTGTCACTGCTCTGGGAACTAATTTCTAGGTTGTCCCTGCCTAGGGTTCCGCTTTCCTCCCCCCCCTGGGTTTCTTCCACCCCAGCAAGCAACAGCACAACACACGGGGCAGGGCAGGAGGAGCACTGCCTCCTGCTCCTCCTCACCTCACCTCCGCACCCCTTGGTAGGTTGCGCGCTTGCTTCTGGTTGGTCCGGGCGGGCCTGCAGCTTCCTCCGCTATGGGGATTGCCGTGGCTGGGGGAGGAAACTCCGGGAATGGAGTGGCTGCCGTGGCGTGGCGTGCTGTAAATGCGGCAGAGCGGAATTATTGTTCCACCAACGTGATTGTGACGCGCAAGCCCGACGCGGTTCGGATGAACCACGCCCAGGAGCACGGCCCTATTCGTTCGGCAACGGGGGGAACATCCGCCTGAAATTACAAGCTCCTCCAAGCCCTGGGTTTGGTTGGGGGGGATTGGCGGCGGGTGCATGTGATGTGACGCTTGTGGGGAGAACTGGCACAGGCACATGGCGCATTGGCACTTGGGGCAACAGCGGAGAAATCCCAGAGCTGCGTCGATTCAGCAGCACTGTCTCGAACGAACCTGGTTGATTTGACAGGCAAGAACCAGCGAAAACTCCTGTCTTGTGGCGAGCCGCGGAAACCAAGGGCAGGTGAAAAAGGAAGCGGCCCAGCGAGACCGCAACAGAAAGCCGTGACGGACAATCCATGCCAGCCTTGCGTGACAAACCCGGGGTTTGGAATTTGGACAGCCTTGCGTGACAAACCCGGGAATTTGGAAGTCACACGCGGTCGGGTAAGTTGGGACCCAGAGGCCATGTCAGCAGGGCCGGAGAGCGCCGTGTCCGCAGAGGATGATGACATGCCAGCGACGCGACGAAAGGCGGCGAGAGAATGACCCTGCATCCATGCTGTTGTGGCATCTGTGTGTGGGACTGATGGATCCCAATTATCCTTCTGGAGCTGGAATTCTGAAGCGTGATTGGTTGGAGCCCTTGAACTTGCTGCAAATCGCTGTAAGAACATGTTGCCGAATAACATGCACAACCAGGGAAAAACACTACCAACTTTATATCGTGCACAACAGAATATACTTCAATATATTAACTACTATAAGTAACCTTGTTCGCTACCAAACAGGTCGAAGAACAAGTCAAATTCCGGCTGTGGTTGCCTTTCGCCGGCATCCATATATTGCACATCGCCTCCCACCATGGTGTCCGAAGTGCCTGCCAATGTAGATTGACGAGGTGCATCCGCTCTCTCCTGTTGTCTGTCAACTGTCCCTCTCACATCCACATGCGATGCCTCTCCCATTCCAACATCTATCAATCCAAAATCTCCACTCCCCTCTCCTACAGTTTCCCGTAACCCCCCATCCCCTTCCCTCCCCACCCCAAGGGCTGATGCTGCCACAGCAGCCAACGACCTGCCCAGAGATGCCAACTCAGCGCTGCCCTGGATCGATAAATGGCGTGCAGACAGCTGATGTGACAAAAGCTGGTTGGCAAAGGGAGGATGTGCAGCGGCAGCAGCATTTGCGGGAGCGGTGACTGCAGGGGCGGCTGCAGCCTGTTGCCGATATGGGGCGGATTCGTGTTGACTGGATGCATTAGTGGGAGTGCTTAAAACAGGAGTGGCCACGGCAGGAGTGGCCATGACAGGAGTGGCCACAGCAGGAGTGGCCACGACAGGAGTGGCCACAGCAGGAGTGGCAACAGCAGGCGTGGCCACAGCAGGAGTGGCAACAGCAGGCGTGGCTGCAGCAGGAGCGCTACTGGGATGGCTGGACGCAAGAGGAGGCGGCTGATGTGAAAGGGCTGCAATGTGCGCTTGTTGCAAATGCACTGATGCACGCGCAATGACTGGAGTCGTAATAGGAAGAGGGGGCACACTGGAAGCAGGGGGGACACTGGAAGCAGGGGGCACGCTGGAAGCAGGGGGCACGCTGGAAGCAGGGGGTGCGATGGAAGCAGAGGGAGAGATGGGCGAAGGGGATGCAGCTGAGGAGGGTAGAACAGAGGGTGGAGGCGTGGTAGCAGGTTGGGGGACAGCAGTGGATACTCGTGGATGCGATGGCGGTTGGGAAAAGCCAGTTGATGCCGTGGATGCAGGGATCAGCGGTGAGTGCACGGCTGAGGCATCAGCTTGAGGAGGGGCAAGTGGGGCGGATGGAGCGGGGAGGGCATCTGAACGGGGAGTGGGAACTGGGTTAGCAGCTGCAGAACCAGGGGTCAAAGAAGCTGCAATGGCAGCAGGAGAGACAGCAGCAGCAGCAGCAATAGGAAGAGCAGCAGTGGCGATAGGAGGAGCAGCAACAGGAGGGGCAGCAGGAGGGGCAGCAGCAGGAGCAGCAGGCCCACTCGCACGAGGTGGCAGTTGGGTTGGGAGGGCAAGGTGAGTCGCCCTGCCTGCTGCTCCCCCCACATGGCCTTGTCGGGATCCCTCCAGCGGCTGCACATCGCTGTCACAGGTAACCCCAACCGTGGCATCATCCCCACCATCTGTCAGGTCAATAATCCCCTCCCCTATGCCCTCCCCTCCGCCCTCCCTTCCGCCCTCCCCTCCGCCCTCCCCTCCGCCCTCCCCTCTGCCTACCCCCACCACTTCCCTTGCCGCTCCTGCACCCTCTGTCATACCACCTGGCGTCACTGTGGCATCCCCTGGTAGGACTGCAGCCACAGTACAAGGCCCTATAGCAGCAGGAGAAGCATTGAGTCGGCGTCGCTTGGAGGGCGGAGAGGCAGGGGAGAGCGAGGGGCCTGCAGGCCGTGGTGGGAGCTGCCAGGAGCCGTCAGGGAAGAGCAGCACGTCCGTGTGGTCGGAGATGCCCTTGCACGCTGATAGCACCTGAAAGGGAAGGAGGGGGGGAGGGGGGGGGGAGAGGGAGGGGAGGGAGGAGCAGGGAAGGGGGAGACTCGTGGGAAGTGTAAGGGGCCTGCATGCTGTGGTTGGATCTGCCAGGAGCCGTCAGGGAAGAGCAGCACATCTGTGTGGTCCGAGATGCCCTTGCTCTCACATAGAATCTGGTTGGGGGAAGAGCAAGAAGAGCGAGAAGGGTGAGATAGTTTGGATACGAGTGCGAGGGGCCTGCAGCCCATGGTGGCAACTGCCAGGAGCTGCAAGAAAAGAGCAGCATACTGATATGACCCTTGACAGTCGATGCTGGGAGCAAGGGTCGACGAGCTAAGGCATACATGCAGTGAGTGCCTGCATCATGTGTGGACGGTATACCTGCATCATGCGTGTGTCGACACATAGTGACGTGGCGCTGATGTCAGCACCGCATGTGGGGCACTTCCACATGGGCTTGCGCTCGTTGATAGCCATCACACTGCTGTAGTCGCAGCACTGTATAAGGGGGATGTGGGGAGAAGGGGGGGAACATCTGTTTCTATTAGGCCATGATTTCACAGCATGATGTCAGATAGGCTTAAATTCTATGATAGCCATCACATGCTGTGCTGGCAGCACTGCATCTCGCAAGGCAGATTGTAACAGAGATTGCTACCTGGAGCTCACCTGAGAAAGCGCCTGACTTTCCACCTGAAGTCTCACCTGAGGGTGGGCGCACACTCGATCCCTCACAGGGACTTGCATGCGGGACCAACTGCACATCGCAAGGGGTTGCGGGTATTGGAAGGGGTGGGTCAGTCAGACACGGGGGGCTGGGAATCCAGGAGCTAGGCAAGATCGGATGCCAGCGTCTTACATCACATCACCTGATGGGGCTCAGCACCTTATGAGGCACACCAAATCACCTGATGGGACACCTGACATAACCTGATGGGACACCTGACATCACCTGATTGGGCACCTGACATCACCTGATGGGGCACATGAGCGACACTAGAACCGGCCCCTCCAGCAGCTCACTCTCCTCCTCCTCCTCCTGCGGGTGCCCCTGCTGCTCCCGGTGCTCTGCCTCTCCTCCTCCCCGCCCACCCCGCCTCTCCCCATCTGCTTGCAACGCACTGGTGACTGCCTGGCCAGCTGGGAGGATTCCAGAGGGGGCTGGGGGCGGGCGGGTAGAGGGGCCAGTTGCAGTGGCTGCTGCTGTGTGGCTGGGTGCAGGGGCTTGAGAGGGGCTGAGCGGTTGAGTGGGGTGCGGAGGCTGGTTGAGTTGTGAGGGGTGCGGCTTGAGCGAGGAGGGTGCGGGCAGGGGAGCAGGCGCCATTACCGCCACCACGAGAATGTAGGGCACTGGGGGGTGGAGAGAAGGTGGGGAAAGGGAGGCGAAGGAATGAGAGGGGAGGGGAGGGGAGGGGGGGGTGCGACGGGATGAGAGGTTTGGGGATAGGGAAGGAAAGGCAATGGCGGGAACAGAAGGGGGGAGAGAAATGAGGAAGGGATGAGGCAGGAAAGAGAGCATAAGAGCATGAGAGCATGAGAGCATGAGAGCATGAGAGCATGAGAGCAAGAGAGCATGAGAGCATGAGAGCATGAGAGCATGAGAGCATGAGAGCAAGCGAATATCATGACCCTTACCTGAGAGGCGGCCAATGAGGTTCAGGAGGTTGACACCGAGCCTCAGGGTCTTGGTGACATCGGATGGTACCAGCGGGGAGCGATCCTGTGCGCGCCACAGAGAGGGTGAGAGGTCGAGAGGGGGGCGTGCAGGGTGGGCAAGGTGAAAGAGAGGGGCAGCGAGCCTGAGAATCTTGGTGACATCGGATGGTACCAGAGCGGAGCGACCCTGGGTGCGCCACGGAGAGGGTGAGAGGTCGAGAGGGGGGGGCGCGGGGGAGGGGCGGAGAGAAACAAGGACACAACCAGCCTCGGAATCTTGGAGCCAGCGGACAAGAGTGAGCTGGTGGCAACAGACGGTCAGCACGTTACCTGGTCGATGGCGCATTACCTGGTCGATGGCTGTTCTGTTGGCCACCTCCTTGGCGTTCAGCAGTATGCTGCTCATGACACCATGCCGTCACCCATGCCATCACCCATGCCATCACCCATGCCATCACCCACGCCATCACCCACGCCATAACCCATGCCATCACCCACGCCATCACCCATGGCACCGCACGAGGCCCACACGATCAAGAGAGAGGGCAAAAGGGAGGAGTCATGAGAAGGAAGTATATTGTCGGCTGGCTGTGCTACGGAATGAAGACATGGTGTGGAAAACTGTTTGCTGTGGAGGAAATGGAAAAGCCACGTGTGTGCTGACATGTCGTGTCACTGCTGACCAGGAATGCTGACCTGGCATAGGTTGCTGACCTGGCTTGAGGAGGCGAGGCGAGGGTGGCAGCGGAGCTGACAAAGTCCGCTCGGATAGAGAAGAAGCGCTGCAGGGATGGAAGGGTGGGAGGCATGGGTGGGATGGGAGGCATGGGAGGCATGGGATGGGCGGGATGGATGGGATGGGTGGGATGGGTGGGATGCGTGGGATGCGTGGTTAGGTTGGCAGCAGAGTCAGAAACAAATGCTGTGAAGGAGAAGAGGCGGTGCAGGGATGGTTGGCTTGTCTTGTCTGTACCCTTCTTCTACGAAATACAAAGGACCAATTGAGGATGGGTGGAAGGATGGAAGGGTGGATGGGCTATGAGAAGGCGAAGAGGAAAAGCAGGGGGGATCGCAGTTGATGCAGGAATGTGTGCGTGGTGGTGGGGAAGAGGGGGGGGGGGGGGGGGGGTGAATATGGAAGATGGCTATTGCTTGGGAACGAACGCTGTGTGAGCAGCAAGGTTCATTGAATCTGACCACTTTCTGCTGCGCCCTGGGGTGCTGTGAGACGAGGAAGTCGTGACTGAGCGCATGGAAGCCCGGCTGCCGTGGGAGGGGGGCACACATGCACGCATTGGGAAAAGGGGGGGGGGAAAGGGGAGGGGGGGCAGATATGCATGCATTGGGGGGGGGGGGGGAGGGGGAGGGGGAGGGAGGGGGAGGGGGGATAGACATGCATGCATTGGGGGGGGGAGGAAGGGAGGGGGAGGGGGGACAGAGATGCATGCCTTGGGGAGTGGGGGGCGGGAGACAGGTGCGCATGGGATGCGGCGGTTGGGGCAGGTGGGTATGCCTGAGGGGGGGGGTGCTTTCCAGTGAGACGGGAGCATTCAATTGAAATGCGAGCACTCTAGTGAGACGGGAGCACTCTAGTGAGTCGGGAGCACTCATGGGAGCACTCACGAGCCTGAGACGAGGGATCGTGAGAGAGATGGAGGGTGCAAAGGAGATGTCACAGAGAAGGTAGGCGGAGGGCTTGAGCAGTGTGGTGGGAGAACGGGGCGGGGAGAAGTCGTGAAAGCACCAAGCTCGAATTGCATAAGCTAGCCAGGCAGAGGTACCCACCTGTACTGTGAGTGCTGTGCAGACTTGAACGATCTCCATTCTAGGAAGGAATCTGGAATCACACCCACACCCACACACATCCATCCACCCACACACACACACCGACCCACCCACACACACTCATACACACACACATGAGTATGTGTGAGCGCATAGAAGGACAGAGTCGTCACTCTCTAAATACAAATGGCCCGCATGATGTGCAGGTGCTGTGCGGTAACATGCAGGTGCTGTGCGGTAACATGCAGGTGCTGTGCGGTAACATGCAGGTAATGTGCGGCAACATGCAGGTGCTATGCGGCAACATGCAGGTACTATGCGGCAACATGCAGGTACTATGCGGCAACATGCAGGTACTATGCGGCAACATGCAGGTACTATGCGGCAACATGCAGGTACTATGTGGCAACATGCAGGTGGTATGTGGCAACATGCAGGTGCTATGCGGCAACATGCAGGTACTATGTGGCAACATGCAGGTACTGTGCGGCAACATGCAGGTACTATGCGGCAACATGCAGGTACTATGCGGCAACATGCAGGTACTATGCGGCAAGATGCAGGTACTATGCGGCAACATGCAGGTACTATGCGGCAACATGCAGGTACTATGTGGCAACATGCAGGTGCTATGCGGCAAAATGCAGGTGCTATGCGGCAACATGCAGGTACTACGCAGCAACATGCAAGCACTGCACACATCAACGCACCGCTTGACAACAAGTTGCAGCAGAAAGTCAGTGGGCAGAGGCGGCGCACCACCCGTTGCCACACTGTCTCTCCCACCAACACTCTCTGTCCCACCGCCTTGCCCCTCTGCTGCTCCTCCGTCTCCTCCCCTTCCTCTCCCCCCTGGACCACCGCCCCCACTACCACCACCACTGTCCTGTACACTCCCTGCCCTCTCCCTTTGCCCTCTCCTCCCCCCTCCCCTCCCATTCTCCCTCTCCCCCTCCTCGGCCCACCCTGCCACGTCATGCAGCACCTCCCCCAGACCTACCTCCCTGCCCAGCATCCTCTGCTCCTCTGCTGCCGCGTCAGCAGAAGGCTGGCCTGGACCTTCGTCCAGCCAATTGGAGAGAGAGGCGGGGCGAGGAGCGAGAGAGGAGGAGAAGGCTCCCAGAGCCTAGAGAGGAAAGGGACGGGCATTGTGAGGACTGTGAACGGGAGGAGAAATACAAGGCAACACAAACCAGGTCCTCCTACATCAGTAAACGACGTTGGTTTCCACACTACAGTGAGAGGGAAAGGGAAAATCGCAGGGGGACGAATGCGAGGGGAGGGAAGCAGGATGCGGGACGTATATGAGATAATGCCACCGGCTTACACACTACAGTGAACAAGACTTGACAGGCCTCAGCAGCCTCACATTGTCACACAGTGCCCGAATGCCTTTCCTCTGGTCTGCTGAGAACCACCCTCCTGCTGCTGCGACCTGCAATGGAAAGGTGAGAAGGGAAGTGTGGGTGGGATGAGAGCATGGGAGGAGGAAGGACAGGGTGGTTTGAAAGGGAAGTAACGAGAGGCATTCAGGAGGGAAAGACGAACGCAAGGTGGGTGGTTGGGAGGCTGTGGCGTCGTGACTGCAGGGGATGCAATAAACTGAAGCCTTCATTGCAGAGATACAGTTATACATCCGTGCCCTCATATCCCGTGCCCTCATATCCCGTGCCCTCATATCCCGTGCCCTCATATCCCGTGCCCTCATATCCCGTGCCCTCATATCCCGTGCCCTCATATCCCGTGCCCTCATATCCCGTGCCCTCATATCCCGTGCCCTCATATCCCGTGCCCTCATATCCCGTGCCCTCATATCCCGTGCCCTCATATCCCGTGCCCTCATATCCCGTGCCCTCATATCCCGTGCCCTCATATCCCGTGCCCTCATATCCCGTGCCCTCATATCCCGTGCCCTCATATCCCGTGCCCTCATATCCCGTGCCCTCATATCCCGTGCCCTCATATCCCGTGCCCTCATATCCCGTGCCCTCATATCCCGTGCCCTCATATCCCGTGCCCTCATATCCCGTGCCCTCATATCCCGTGCCCTCATATCCCGTGCCCTCATATCCCGTGCCCTCATATCCCATGCCCTCATATCCCGTGCCCTCATATCCCGTGTCACCCACAGTCGTGGAGACAACAGGAAGCAGGTCAAATGGGGGGGGGGGACCTTGACAGATAGGGAAGAGGGGGAAATTACCTTGACAGATAGCAGCAGGACGGTCACTGCTGGGCGAAGCGAGGGGACAGCGTGGAAGAGACACGCCTGTGCAGGAGCAACGCGCAGGGGTGGGCAATAGTGAACGCTGGTTGTAAGTGCTTTTATCCACGGCAATGTGCATGGTGTTGACCATCAATGTGCATGGCATGGTCCATAACCATGCGTCAAAAAGCTCGTCAATGCCATTGGCAAAGCTCGTCAATGCGCATGGCAAAGCTCGTCAATGAGCATGGCAAAGCTCGTCAATGCGCATGGCAAAGCTCGTCAATGAGCATGGCAAAGCTCGTCAATGCGCATGGCAAAGCTCGTCAATGCGCATGGCAAAGCTCGTCAATGCGCATGGCAAAGCTCGTCAATGCGCATGGCAAAGCTCGTCAATGCGCATGGCAAAGCTCGTCAATGCGCATGGCAAAGCTCGTCAATGAGCATGGCAAAGCTCGTCAATGCGCATGGCAAAGCTCGTCAATGCGCATAGCAAAGCTCGTCAATGCGCATGGCAAAGCTCGTCAATGCGCATGGCAAAGCTCGTCAATGCGCATGGCAAAGCTCGTCAATGCGCATGGCAAAGCTCGTCAATGCGCATGGCAAAGCTCGTCAATGCGCATGGCAAAGCTCGTCAATGCGCATGGCAAAGCTCGTCAATGCGCATGGCAAAGCTCGTCAATGCGCATGGCAAAGCTCGTCAATGCGCATGGCAAAGCTCGTCAATGCGCATGGCAAAGCTCGTCAATGCGCATGGCAAAGCTCGTCCATTGCCCAGCCCATGAGCTCAGAGCAAGCAGCACCTCACCATCTTCACAGCGTCTATCAGCTCGCCCTCCCTGCCCTCCACCCGCTGCTCTGTTGCCAGCGCCACGTCCAGAGTCCTGGAGGGGGCGGATGGGGAGAAGGGGTGACAGGAGGAGGGCGGGTGGGGAAAAAGCGAATCCCAAGGGGGATGCTGGTCAGCGTTCGTCTTCATTAGAACGGACAATTCGAGAAGAATGGCCATCCGCACAGGACGCACTTCCTCACTTCATGTCAGCAGGCTGGTTGGAACAATATGCCTACCTACGTCAGGCGTACTCGTGGCTTCCCACCTGGACACGTCAAGCAGCGTCTTGGTCAGAGTGCTCGCCGCCTCTCGCCCTCCTGCCGACCTCCATAGCGCCGTCACCGCAGCTGCTACAGCCGCTGCATCCACCGCTACTGCCGGTTGATGCTGGGATTGCCTCTGAAGGAGCGCCTGCTGTTGCTGCGACTGCCATGCGACAGCTCGTCGCAGCTGCGTGTGGAGATGCGACACGCGTGCGAAGAGACGCGACGACGACGTGCGAGTGAGATCGATCACGGTGGGCCCGGGAGAAGTGGCAGCGGACGGAGAAACCGTAGCGGAGGGAGTCGCATCGGACGGGGGAGTCGCAGCGGATGGCGAAAGAGCGGAGGCACTGGGAATGGCTCGAGAAGCCGCTGCTGGCCGAGCGATGCCGGGAATCGTGGGAGGAGCTGACATGCGAACTGGCTTTCGACTCTGGGTTCAGGGGAATGTAGGGAGCCTGATGTGCGTAGCCCGAAAAGTCTAACTGTCAAATATTTACGAAGGTGACACTACGGAGAGTCTATACGACGCTTAGGAGAAAAGTCAAGAAAAGGACAACCTTGAAGGTAATTGCTGCTGAATTCCAAAGGTTCGGAGAAACAAAGGAGTGTCAGCCATGGCTTTACTGAAGACTGGAATGCGTCAGAACCGAATTCGGATTACAGTCACACGGCGGGCGGGATGAAGCAGGTCCTCTCGACCTGTATTTCTGTCAGGCAGACCCTCGCCTCCGTTCTTGACACGTGGGGAAGTCATTGTGAATTTCCCCTTTTGTGGTCAGTTTCGCATCAACATATTGAAAGTATGATTGCATTTTCCTCATGTTTGCACTAAATGCAGCACATAATTTACGTCACATTGCAAAAAACCAGGCTTTTATTCTTACGATACATCATACAACCCACAATTATTTGTTGCGCGCTGATAACCCCTTATTGCCCATCCCCGTTATAGTTTATGGACTCCCATATAGTATCTTATTATATAACCTTGATGTCTACCTACCATTGTCATCACCTTTCACCTTGCACGGTACATTCGGGAATCTGGTGTTGACAGGAGGCCCTGTGCAGCAGCAGGGTGGTTTCGAGCGAGCTCACGCGGCGCTGCAGGGCGTCCACGTACGCGACGGCGTTGTCAAGCATGGTGGCGGTGTCCCCGTGGCCGCGCACCGCCATGCGCAGCTTCTGCAGCCCCTCGCTGATGCGCTCCCGCCTCTGCCTCTCCGCCATGCTCCGCGCCTTGATGCGCCCCCCCGCCACCTGCCGGTCTTTGCGCCCACGGCTGCGCGGCATCCACTCGTCCATGTCGTCACCCCCTGCACGCCCTGAACTGGCACCAGGGAATGGTGACCCAAGCCCAGCAGTCATGGCACAAGGTGAGCCTCCATTCGCCCCCATGGGCTGCGCTGGGGGGGCATGAGGGGGACGGCTGCTGCCTGCCCCCCAAAATGTGCCTTGGGGCGAAAGGCAATTAGGGGATTCCACTCCTGGCAGCCTGCTGGCACCTCCTCTCCCTGGGGTACTGGCTCCGAGGCCCCAAGTGCTCGCCTCTCCGTCGTTGAAGGGGCTGCCCAGGGACAGAGGGGAGTCTTCACATGGAGGCGCAAGGCAGCCAGGGAGCATCAGGGGGGGTGGGCGCTGTCCTGCTCCTCTCTTCATCTCAGCCTCATCAGCGATGCGAGGAGAAAGCACGTTTGCCTTGGTTTCTTCAGCCTCTCTCCTGCGTGTCCGCATGGCCAGTGCTGCTGCCGCCGCTGCAGCAGCAGCTGCATCCACGCTGTCAATGCTGCCCGTGCTCAGCCTGTCATCCTCATCATCATGGTCTTCACCATCTTCCCCGTTATTGCACTCCTCGTCAATAGCCAGCAGCTTCTCGTGCACATGCGCAAACCCTGGCACATGGTCTTGCACTGGAGTGTGGGGTGGCGAGACATTGGAAGGCGGCTGAGATGGTAACTCCAAGTGAGCAGATGTCGCAGAGGCCATCTTAGCAGCAGCAGCGCAGGCAGCATTGTCCGCAGAAACACCTCCCTTGCACCAGGCCGTGGCAGCAGCAGTGCCATCCCCAGCACCAACTCCCCCAGCTGCACCTCCCCCGCCTTCAGCGGTGGACAGGGCGGCCATGACAGCGTCCAGATGCCCGCCAATCTCGGGCAGGTCAGAAATGAACACATCCAGGAGACTTCTGCCCGTACCGACCCGTCCCAAAGTGGCCACACTTGAAAACTCGTCCTTTCCGCATACATCTCCGTTCTCATCCACGCCCGTCTCCTTCCTCTCTGCTCGCTGCGCTGCTCCTTGCGCTGCTCCTCGCGATGCCCCTTGCGATGCCCCGTGCGTTGCGCCTTGCTGGATTAGCCTCGGTAGCGGCGCTGGCTTGCTCGTCTCTCCGTTCTCAGGAGGCTCCGCCGCTGCATTGCCACTCGCGCCGTCGCAGTCACCATCGGTCACCAGGTCGGGCTTGCCGCCGCCGCACGCCTTCCGCCGTTTGGCGGACGGCGGAGTCGTGGGCGCGGAATCGTCCGACGCGGCGTCGCCATTAGCGGGGCACAGGTCGTCGAGCGAGGCGAGCGCCGTGAGCAGAGCCGACAGAATCTTGGCGTTTTGCTGCGTCGCCTTGTGCCGCCGCTGCTGCTGCCTCTGTTTCTTCGAGTTGCTGCCGCCGCGCCACGTCGGAGGCTGCTTGGGCTCGCGCCGGCTTAACGAGTCGGATTCGGAATCTTTCCGCCCGTGTGACTGCTGCTGCTGCTCCGTGCCCTCGGAATCCTCCAGCATTTTCGTCGAAGACGCGTTCTGGATTTTTGTTTCGCATCCGCGCACCGCTTGCGTCGTTTCACCTCCGCTGGCGTCTCCGCGCGGCTTCCGCTTGGCTCCGCTTTTGTCCGCCGCTCCTCTGGGCGCCTCCGCCGCAGCATCTGCGCTTTCTTGGGTTGGTGAAGGATCGACGGCCAGGAACGGTGGAAGCGAGGAATCCCAGAAGCTGTTGGGCAGCGCGAGGAACGAGTTGATTGCGGCGTGAATGTCGCCGTCGTCAACGGCGCCATCCGCGGGGTCGAGTTCCGCGGCAAACGGCAATGCAGCGTTGGCGGGATGTAGAGGGCGAAAGAAGTCGTCACTGACGCCGGGTATCGGAACGGCTTGGGATGCCATGACAGGGGCGGGAGGAAGCCGAGCTGGGCGAGAGGAGCATTGGTTCACAGCTGTCAATGACAAGAAGCAGAAGAGCTCGAAATTCGCTGTCGTAAACTTAGGGGCCAAACAAGGGGGTTGTATGTGAAGATGGTGGTGCGTGCGAGGGTCTGTCGGGGCAATTCGCATGAAGTTCGTTTAGCGCGGTTCCGTATGTTAATTAGCGGTCGACAGCGGTTCTAGAGCCACACCTCTTTGGACCATTGCGCACCATGCTGAACCGTACAGAATGAATTCTCGGCAAGCACTGGGACACGCCCTGGCGACGCGACGCGAGGGCAAGAAGTGCTTTTGCAGGAAGCCTGGACCTGATGCATGTGTGGCGTCACACATTTGGATAGGACGCATCGTGCGACGAAAAACACGCTTTTGGAGAGGCGAGAAGTGGGGAGGTTTGGATGACATGGCATCAGGCGATCAGCCCTTGGGCTCATCTGGACATAGGATGGCAGTGACCACTGCAGCACACTCCATAAGTGATACAGTTGACTGCCGGACATTTGATGTCGGGCAGATTACGCAATCTAGTCGCAAAGTGCGAGCAGAACAGAATCCCTATACTGTTTAAGGAGGAGTTGATTTAGGTTTTCTCTGGAAATGGATAGGTATACAAGTACAGTTTCAGCAGAATGTCTTCTCCAATGCTTTATTTTTCAGCCCGTAAAGTTGAAACCATTCAGCACCTGGAACCGACCACAGAAACTCGACCTGGAACAAGGCCTGACACCTGGAGTATGGCAAACCATGCAAGCTTATCCGCAGGTACGGCGGGACAGACTGGACATGTTGGGGGAACGGGGAGAAGGGAGGGGGGGAGGGGGGCCGGGGGGCTCCTACGGGTGCGCGTGGGGCGATCGGGCGAGTGCTAGGGTGTTGCTGCGGGGGGTAGCCAGCGACGAAAACATCCTTAGTGTTGCTGCGGTGCTGCATTGGTGCGTTATCGCGAACCACTCTTCGCCGTTGTCTAGTATTTCGCACGGAATCGCTGCGTGACTGTTTCAGGGCTTCAGGTCAGGAATCAGTTTGGGCTGGGATAGGATTTTCTATCCTACCGCCTCGAGATTCTTGCCCCAGGAGCTAGGAGCATGGGCATCACTGACTAATCCGCGAGTTAGAGCGGGTCCAGAGTGGAACATCGACATCCAACGACATCCGTTGTGGAATGTCGAGGGATATCGACCGTCGATAACGATACATCCATGGTTCGCATCCCTCGACATCCCCGACGTCCCTCGACATCCCACTCTGGACACGCTCTTATTTCTGATGGAGTTTTGAAGTCCAGTTTAGTCCTGCAGCTAAGTATGTGCGCGTATTCCCGTGCCCCAGGCGTCTGCATCCACGCCACAGAGGATCCCCTCAAGACATCGGCCCTCTCCTGCCCCGCGAAAATACCAGAATATCAACCAGTAGTTAGAAAATGAAGGGTGTATGTAGAAGGTACAAATAATTATACACGATTAATGAATGATGTAACAAATTGCACTTTATTTGTTAGTTGAGCTAATGCTATTTTTTAAATCAAAGGATGCACTTCAATAGTCCGCCGAGAAAACGTCAGGAGATTCTGCAGGTGAGGCCATAGAGCAATCAGGCTGCCCCGGGTGTTTGCACGAGGCCCTGTGCAGCAGCAGGGTGGTCTCCAGCGAGCTCACGCGGCGCTGCAGGGCGTCCACGTACGCGACGGCGTTGTCGAGCATGGTGGCGGTGTCCCCGTGGCCGCGCACTGCCATGCGCAGCTTCTGCAGCCCCTCGCTGATGCGCTCCCGCCTCTGCCTCTCCGCCATGCTCCGCGCCTTGATGCGCCCCCCCGCCACCTGCCGGTCCTTGCGCCCACGGCTGCGCGGCATCCAATCGTCCGCTTCGTCCGCCCCCCCATTGGCGCCTCCGCACGCGGGGCTTCCGCCGAAACCCGCCATGTCATCGTCTGAGCTGTCATTGTACATGGGAGCTGCCGCTTCTGGCGCAGCGGCGCGCATGGCTAGTGGCGCGGGAGCCGCCACCTCAGCGGTGGGCAGGCGGATGGGCATCCGCAGCGGACCATTAGACACTGGCAGCGGAGCGGCGGGGGCCGCGGGGGCGGCGAAGGCAGCGGGTGCGGGGCACGGGCCGCTGCGGAGGACGGCAGCTCCGAGCGCACGGCGCATCTGGCGCGCCATCTCCGCCTCGCTTCCGCTCACGGCTGCGGCAGGCGCAACGGGGGACACGACCTCACACTCCGGCGCCTTGCGCTTAAGCGAACCCACTGCCAACGCGGCGGCGGCAGCGGCGGCGGCTTCCGCGGCGGAGCTATCCACGCTGCTGGAGCTGTTGGCGCGCGCAAGTACGCGCTGGTCCGCGCTGTTGCGCTCCGCCGCCTCTGCCTGCTCATAAGCTGCGCTGCTGCTTCCCGTCTGCCCCGGTTGCCTCTTCTCCGCGTCTGAGCCGCCGTCGAGCGCGGCGATGATCGCGTCGAGGTGCGTATCGACCCGCGGCAGCTGACCCAGCAGCGAGTCGAGCAGCGCGGACGACGGGTTACCGCTGCTCGCCGGGCTGTTGTTGCTCAGGCTGTCCAATTGCGGCAGCGGGCGGGACTCAACGGCGTCGCGGGGGGCCAGCTTGGCGCGCTTAGCCGGCGGGGCGGGAGCAGAGGCGGATTCGGGCGAGGAGGGCTCGTCGGCGTCGTCGGAGTCGGCGAGGGCCTCCATGATCGCCGCGAGCAGCTGCTTCTGCGTCGCGCGCTGCGCCGCCTTGCTCGCCTTCGCCTTGCCGCTCTTTCCGCCGCTCTTCCCGCCGGATATACCGACGGACGTCGCAGGTGCGGGGGTCACGGTCTTGGGAGCCCCAGTGTGGTCGTCGCAGGCGGTCCAGGGGAAGCTGGGGAGGTTGAGGAAGGAGTCGACTGCCGTGTCCATGTCGCCGGAGTCGGGACACGCGGGGATGGTCTCTAGGTCGAACAGGTGCTCGAAAGGGGACTGGTCGATTTCTGCGAGCGCCATAGTAGCGAGTGCTGAAAGTAAAAGCTAGTCGCGGTCGTTGGAGTGCTGCGAGAATTGGCTGCTCAAGGAACTGGCTCAGGAGCTGCTAAAGTTGAGGGAGGGAGATCGGAGGTGCACTTCAGGGTGTGTTGAATTGGTTGGTTGATGAAAAGAGTGAGAAGGCGCGCAATTTATGCACGCGAAGTGTAAGGCAGGTTTCTGCTTTAGTGCCCAGGAAAACGCGTCCCCCTGACTTTGCATGTCCGCCTCGCGAATGTTGGCGACCACCACGTTCGCCGAGCCTCCGAGGCTCGGCGTGCCTTGATGTCGTCGTGGGGCTCCTTGCCTCCTGGGGTAGCGCCTACCAAGCTGGTTGGGGGCTGCGAAAGCCAGCGAAAAGCCAATATTCCCTGCTAGCCTGGTACGGATCTCGCCAGCCAAACCTCTCGCCGTGTCAAGTGGACCTCCGGGCTGCTTTGTTTCGTTACAACTTCGCTTCACGCTGTCACAGGTTTGCCCAAGTAGGGTTACTTGGCATGCCAAGTGGACCTGAGCGTCTCACCCATCACGCTACAACTGTGATCGATCATCACGTACGCACGTGAAATCCCCATGGAAGCTGACATCAATGCCAAAAGTGCCGAGGGTAAACCAATCAAAAGAGTAATCGTGTCAGTAGTTGAGCGGTCGATCACAATTCCCGCTCCCCAAGTCATCATCCGTGTCTGGCGAACCTAGGCGGATCAGTCTGCCAACCAATGGCACGTATCCACCTGAACCGAAGCTGACATAAAGCGCAACTGTCCCGCGCTCAATGTCACTGCGTAAAGCATTTCGTACGTATCTGATTCACCCGTCGCCCTTGAGGTGATGGAGATCTCCCTCCACGCTGTACGCCAGGCTCTAATTCCACTGTAGCATGCCTAGACTGAGCAACAGTGAACAATCTCGAGGTCCTAAGGCCCCTTGCCTCGCAATTGTGGCCTGAATTTCCTCTTCGCGAGGGGCAACTCATCAAGCCAGCTCATGGTAGCCTCGTGCCCAGCCCAGGTGCTTGAACGAGAGCCACAAAGGTCATCCGCCATGATTTCGACACCTATTGCGAATTGGGGGAGGCGAATCGGATGATCGGATCCCCGTTGCTTGCAGTGCCAGCCCCAACTGCACCATACTTTTACCTGAAAGCTGGAGATTTACAACCGGGCAAAACACCTGAAGGGGTCCCTCCAGGCGAACCTGAATCCACGCTGTCCAGGTAAAAGAAGGTTCCGGAATAGCGCTAGAATCGGCTTCAACACAGCTGGTTATGCCATCACAAGATCATCATATGAGAAGCCTAATTCACATGCAATTAGCATAAAATTTAGCTCATGCGCTTTTCATTCTTCACCATGAACTGTAATGGTAGTTACAATGAAGAATGACGATTGTTGCACAGTAAACTTGCTAGGTATAATAGACATTTACAATGTTACATGCAAGGATTGTCATCATTATGCCATAACCAATGTAAATCAATCAATATAGCTGAATAATTCGGCCATCAAATCGTCTAACATATTGTGTATATGTCTTATAGGCTAGATAGGTGCGTACTCTGTACAACCCCTTAGACAAAACCACATTGTTTGCCTCATTCTAGTCATTCATTCTAACTTTGATATGGTACCCCCCCACCCAGCCCCCCCCCACCCATGCTTCCGCCTTAGGCCTAGTCCTAGCCGCCCGTACCTAGCTTCCCGTTGATAGCTGCCCGTTTCGAGCCGCCCGTTTTGAGCCGCCCGTAGCTAGCTGCCCGTAGCTCCGCGCCCGCTGGGCTTGAGTTCGCCGGCCCCGCGCCTCTAGCCCCGCTTTTGCCAGCCCCGCATCCGCCTGCCCTGTGCCCGCCAGCCCCGTGCCAGCCAGCCCCGCGCCCGCTGGCCCTGTGTTCGCCAGCCCCGTTCCCGTCAGCTCCGCGCTCGCTGGCCCCGCACCCACTCGCCCGTGCTCGCTGGCCTTGCTTTTGCTAGCCCCGCGCCCGCCAGTCTCGTGCTCGCCAGCCCTATGCCCGCTGGCCCTACGTTCACCAGCTCCGCGCCCGCCAGCCCTGTGCCCGTCGGCTCCGCGCTCGCCAGCCCGCGATTGCTGGCCCCGTAACTCGTCGACCTTCGCCGTCACCTTACAGGTCAGCGCCAGGACCGTCACTCCCTGGCTGTTCATGTCGATGGCCTGCTTCCCCGCCCCGCTGCGCCTGTTGCCCTCCCTGACGCCCCCACCAATGCTGAGCGTGAGGCATTTTCCACTGCTATCCTTGCTCGTGCTGTCTGGGAGTCGCGCGACGCCGTTGCGCAGCTTGCTATTAGTCACGCACTTCCCCGGTCTGAGCGTCCCCGCTTTACCACTGTAGCGAACGCCTACAAATTCTTAGATGCAGTCATCGCGCGCTATTCCACCCCCGCCTCAGCCTCTGTTGGCCGCCTGATCCTTCCCATGGTGTTCTCTGATCTTGCGTCCTTTCCCACAGTCGCTGATCTTGCCACTAAACTCCGCGCCCTTGAGACTAGCTACCGGACTGCTAGCACTGAGGCTCAACTCACCGTCATTCCGCCGGCGCTGTGCGTTACCCTTTACCACGCGCCTCCCAGACCGCCTAGCCATTGCCCGCGACCACTTTCTTAGTCAGCACTCGGGTGACCTCACCCTCCCCGTCCTTGTCACCGCCCTGTCTGCGATAGAGACCCGCCAACGCATTATCGCTCAGTCTAGCGGTACTATGCCGGTCCCTATCTTTCAGGGCTGTGCTCCCTCCCAGTGCTCTTACTGTGACGTCTCTGCCACTGCGCTCACGCCGCTTGCTGCCCCCACCGATGTAGCGATTGCTGACCCCTCCTCAGGTCCGGTAGTTGCCCGTAGTTCCACTACCCTTCTCTGTCCGGCGGTCCCCTCGGGCTCTCTTACAGGCCTGCACATCCCCTCGTTCCCCAGGAACCTAGTTGGTGTCGGCTGTATTCAGGACCTCGGCGTCACCACTACGTTCTCCGGTCACGAGCGGTACGTGGTCTATACCGAGGCCGCCACTGGTGCCCCTCTGACCACGTTCCCTCAGGACACTATGTCTGGCCTGTTTACGCTTGATGCTGCTTCCCCCCTGGTTGGGGCATCTCCCCAGGTGCCTGCGGCGACCCAGGTCACTGTGGCTTGCTCGTGTCGGTCGCTCACTCATCCGTCGCTTCTGTGACAACGCCGTCTAGGTCACCCCGCACTCCCGCGTCTGCGTCACATGTCCCATCACGGTCTTGTCGTCGGTCTCCCTGCATCGCTGCCTGACCGTCCTCCCTCACCTGCGCCGCGGTGCACACTTGCGTCAAGGGCCGGCTGCGCTGTGCTCCTCACTCCTCCTCTCTTCCCCCTACCACTGCGCCACTCCAGAACCTGCACCTCAACGTTTGGGGCCTCGCCCCCGTCCCTGGGCCGCGTCAAGAGCGCTACTTCCTAGTGCTTGTCGACGACTACATGCGCCACACCACGGTGTTTCCTCTGGAGTGGAAGGTCGACGTTCCTGACGCTCTTATCTCGTAGGTCGTAGCTGCGTAAGTCCACCGCAGCCTCCCTGTGCTGCGTCTCTATTCCGACTGTGGCGCCGAGTTCGCTTCCGGTCGGCTTGGCGAGTCTTGTCGAGCGGAGGGCATCACCGAGTTGTACACCCTGCCGGACTCCCCGCAGCAGAATGGGGTCACTGAGCGACGCATCGGTTTGGTTATGGAGGTGGCTCGTACCTCCATGATCCATACCGGTGCACCCCATATTCTGTGGCCGTTCGCTGTTTGCTAAGCCGCTCACCAGCTTAACCAGTGGCCGCACTCCCAGCGGCCGCAGGTTTCGGCGACCCTCCTCTGGACCGGGTTCCCTGGTGACGCGTCTGCATTCCACGTCTGGGGATGCCTCGCTCATGTCCGTGCCTCTGGAACGGATAAGCTCATGGCTCACACTGTCCCCTGTGTCTTCCTTGGTTTCCCCCTTGACGCGTCTGAGGGGCAATTTTACCACCCGTCTTCTCACTGCTTCTTTCACTTGCGTGACGTCACTTTTGACGAGTCTGTCTCCTTCTACCACTGCTTTTCCCACCGAGGTCTCCCGGTGGAGGAGTCGGCTGACTTCGGGGGCCTTGCGGCTTTGGTTTCGCCGCCTGTCTTCGCCCCGGAATCTCCTCCTCCACCACCACAGCAGTTGTTGCCGTCCTCGCTGCAGCAGCAGCCGCCGTCACCGCCGCAGCAGCAGCAGCAGCAGCCGTCGCTGCAACCGCAGCTGCCGCAGGGGTCCGCGCGTTCTGGGGGTGCTGGCATTGAGGAGGGTGCTAGTCCTGGGTTACTGTCGTGGCTTGTCCCAGCGTTCTCGGAGGTGGCACCGGTGCTGGAGAGGGTTCTCGTTCTGGGGGTGCGGGTTCGGGGGGATCTAGTCCTGGGGTTCCTATCGTGGCTCGTCTCGGCGGTCCTGGGGGTGGCATCGGTGCTGGAAAGGGTTCTTGTTCTAGGGGTGCTGGATTGGAGCATTCCGGATGTAGCAATGGTGCAGCTGGAGGTTCTGGTGTTGATATGGCACAGCAGCAGCAGACGCAGCCGGTGTCCGCCCTTCGCCTCCTCAGTTTTCCCTCCCCTGACCGCCCACCTACGCCTCCCCCGCCGCCGCTTCCCCTGCCTATCTACGGCCCAGTGTTTTCTCCGCCGGACTCGTCTCCAACTCGTTTTCCCCCTCGTTCCCCTCCTGTGTCTCCTCCTCTGTCTCCTGACCCGACGCCTCCATCTCACGTCTGGTCTCGCCGTCCCTCCCGTGTTCATCCTGTCTCTCCTGTTCAGCGCTCTCACCCTATGTTGCTTCGTTCCCACGCGTCTCGTCCTCCCCTCCTCCTGTCGCCTCCTCCATCATCGCCTGTTGTCGCTCCACCTCCTCTGTTTGACTTCCTTCATGCTGCTATTCCTCTTGTTCCTCAGGTCCTTGCCTCCCTTGTTACCGACCCGTCTGTTCCTGTCTCGAGTCTTGACGCGCTTGTCACTGCCGTCGCTGACTTCGCCTCTACCCACCGCCTTGACTATGCCACCGCTCTGGTCTCTAACCCTGTCCGTCCTCCGTCCGTCGGGAGTGCTCCTGCCATTGGCAGTGACGGCCTGGAGGACCAGCAG